TGTTCCACAATCTGCCCCTGGCCTTGTTTTGACTGATGATATGGAGCTTTTCCATAGTCTCTTTCCACTGATATAGTCAATTTGATTTCTATGTATTCCATCTGGTAAGGTCCATGTCATCTCTTATGCTGTCTTAATAGGGTATTTGAAATGAACTAATCATCTATTTTTGAAGAATTCTAGCATGCAATCTTCAGCATCATTTCTATCATCAAGGCCATATTTTCCAACTACTTATCCTTCCTCTTTGCTCCCAACGTTTGCATTCCATTCCTTGGTAATGATCAATACATGTTGAGTGCCTGTTTGATCAATTTCAGATTGAAGAAGTTGGTAGAATTCTTCTATTTCATCCTTAATGGCTTTAGTGGTTGGTACGTAAATTTGAATAATATTGGTTATTAACTGGTCTTCCCTGTAGACACATGGATATTATCCTATCACAGACAGCGTTGTACCTCATGACTGATCTGGATATGTTCTTTTTGACAATGAATGCAACACCATTCCTCTTCAATCTGTCATTCCTGGCATAGTATACCATGTGGTTGTCAGATTCACAATGGCCAATAGCAGTCCATTTCAGCTCACTAATGCCTAAGATATGTATGTTTATGCGTTCCATTTCATTTTTGACAATTTCTAATTTTCCTAGATTCATACTTCATACATTTCATGTTCTGGTTATTAATGGATGTTTACAGCTGTTTCTCTTCATTTTGAGTTGTGCCCCATCAGTAGATGAAGGTCCTGCGGGCTTTTCTACCACGGGCTTTACTTCATTCACGTCATCACAGTCAACTCTACTTTGAGGAGGCAGCTCTTCCCCAGTCACATTTTGAGTGCCTTCCAACCTGGGGGCTCATTTTCCGGCACCATATCTGACAGTGTTTCTCTGCTATACATAAGGTTTTCAGTGACTAAATATTCAGAAGTAATTCGTCGCTCCTTCTTCCTAGTCTGTCTTTGTCTGAAAGCTCATCTAAAACCTGTCCACCATGGGGGACCCTGCTGGTATTTCAAATACCGGTGGCATAGCTTCCAGAATCAATCACAGCAACTCACAAGCCACCACAGTACGACAAACTGACAGATGAGTGGTGACCGAATTGAAGCACACAGGTGAACAGTTTTCTTGTATTCTCTGCTTTCAACCAAGATCCATCTGATATCAGCAATGATATCTGTCATTCCACATCCTCATCTGAATCTGGTTTGAACCTGTTAATGTACTTGCAGTCATTTAAAAATTATCTTTAGCAAAATTTTATTTGCATATGATGTTGTTGTTATGTGCCGTGGAATCAGTTCCAACTCATAGTGACCCTGTACAGGGTTTCTGAGGCTGTAAATCTTCTCGGGAGCATAAAGCCTCATCTTTCTCCCACGGAACAGCTGGTAGTTTTGAACTGCTGACTTTGCGGTTCGCAGCCCGATTCATAACCACTATGCTACCAGAGCTCCTTGCTATTCACTACACTTGCATATGATAGTAATGATATAATCTGATGATTTCCACATTTTATTTTGTCACCTCTCTTCTGAATAGGCACAAATATGGATCTCTTCTAATCAGTTGGCCAGGCAACCTCTTTCACATTTTTGGCCTAGGTGAGTGAGTACCTCCAGTGATGCATCAATTTGTTGAAAGATTTCAATTTGTATTCCTTCAATTCCTGGAGTGTTCTTTGCCAATGACTTCAAATATAACTTGGACTTCCTTCAGTACCACTGGTTCTTGATTGTATGCTATTTCCTCAATATTGCAAGTTGAGGCCTGAATTTTTCTTCTGTTCTTTCAGCTTGAAAAATGCTCATTTTTTTTTTTTCACTTTTGATTTTCTTACTCCAGGACTTTGCCCATTTCATTATAATAATTGGCTATGTCTTCTCGTCCTGCCCTTTTAAATGTTCTGTTCAGCTCATTTGTTTTCCCATTTCTTCCATTTGCTTTAGCGTCTCTATACTCAAGATCAAGTTTCAGAATATCTTCTTATATCCATTTTGGTCTTTTTTTTCTTTTCTGTCTTTTTAGTGACCTTTTGCTATCTTCCTATATGATCTTGACATCACCCCACAATTCTTCTGGTCTTGGGTCATTTCTCTAATGCATCAAATCTGTTGTATTCATCATGAACTAGAACATCTCAAGATCTATCTTGAAGTACAATGCTGTCTGTAATAGGATAATATCCATAAATCTACAAGGAAGACCAGTTCATACCACTGTTACTCAAATCTACACACCAACCTCTAAAGCCAGTGATGATGAAATTGAAGAATTCTATCAACTTCTTCAATCTGAAATTGATCCAACATGCAATCAAGATACATGGATAATTACTAATGATTGGAATGTGACGGCTGGAAACAAAGAGGAAGGATCAGGATCAGTAGTTGGAAAATATGGCCTTAGTGATAGAAATGATGCTGGAGATCACATGATAGTATTTTAAAGACCAATGAGTTATTCATTGCAAATATCCTTTTTAAAATAACATACAGGGTGACTATAGATATCGACCTCATCAGATGGAGTATGCAGGAATCAAATTGACTACATCTCTTGGAAGAGATAGTGGAAAAGCTCAATATCATCAGCTAATAAAAGGCCAGAGCCACCTGTGGAAAAGATCATCAATTGCTCAGATGGTAGTATAGGCTGAGGCTGAAGAAAATGAAAACAAGTTCACGAGAGCCAAAATATGATCCTGAATATATACCACCTAAATTTAGGATGGAGTTCTGGTGTGGCACTTCAGGATAATGCACTGGACTACAAGGTTGATTTGAATTGCAAGATTGGCAGTCCAAGTTCACCAGCTACTCCTTGGAAATGCTATATAGGGTCGCTATGAGTTGGAATTGAGCTGACAGCACTTAGCAACAAGACAACAACAAATTTAAGATAGTTGATACTATGTGTAAAATATCTATCAATACAATGATTTTAGGTTCTGTCATCCAAGTGGAGTCCTGGTGGGGCACTGTGGTTAATGTGCTGGACTGTAATGTCAGATTGAACCACAAGTTCCAAGCTCACCAGTCATGAGTTGGAACTGACTTAACAACACTTAATAACAACAACATCCAAGCAGCCCTAGTAGTGTAGATCAGTAGTCTATTACTGTGATGTGTTGGGTTGCTAAGTACAAAGTCAGCAATTCAAATCTACCAGCTGCTTTCTGCTCCCATAAAGATAAGGCTTTCTGTTCCTATAAAGATTTACAGCGTCTGAAGCCCTAAACAGGGTCATTGAGTTGGTTATGTGTTGGAACCGACTCGACAGCACATAACCACCACCATCAACGTCCAAGCCAGTTAAGTGCTACCATTCTCAACCTTGCCTCACATTAGAATCACCTGCATTAACAAGAACTTGTAAAGCTACCAGTACACTGGCCCCACCAGAGACCAGTTCAATAAGTCTTGGAGAGTAGGTATTAGACATGTTTTGTTTGTTTGTTTTAAAGCTCCCTCCTCCTCCTCTGTAGAATAAGCACTGAACTGAGAATCACAAGGTTGGCCGTTCGAAAACACCAGCTGCTCTGTGAGAGAAAGATAAGGCTTTCTGCTCTTTTAATGGAGTTACAGCCTCAGAAACTATACAGGGTCGATATGAGTGAGAATCCACTCAACAGCACTTAACATACACATTTGCTCTCTCATACACACACACAAACACACACTCATCTCCCCAGGGGGTTCGTGTGTAGCTTGGATGCAAACCAGTTATTTAGTCCATGCACTAGGTGTTTTTGTTGTCATTTTAAAAACTGCAGCGAAATATACTACTACATAATCAAACGTTTCAACAGTTTTTAGATAAGTAATTCAATGTCATTAATTCACCATTTGTGCACAAAGCACTGTTTCCAAAATTTTCATCAATCACATTTAAAAACAACTGTTTTGTACCCTTTAAGCAATCTATTTTTTCCCTACCACCTATCCTTGGTTGGACTTCTGTTGTGGTGCTGTAGGATAAGCACGGGGTTGGCGGTTCAAACCCACCAGCTGCTCCTTGGAAACACTATACAGGATCACTGAGTCGGAACCGACTTGACTGCACTTAACAAAAACTGTCCTTGGTAACCACTAATAAACGTTGGCCACTATGTATTTGCCTATTCAAACCACTGGTTTTACAGAAACAAGGAGAAAAGTTGAACAACAGGCATAACGAAGGTCGCACCAATAGCCCAAGCAGATTAGGCTCCAGATGTCCGTGCTGGGATCTTCCCTCCCTCCCTTGGGAGGTTTGCCCCACCCTCTATTACTGTGACTAACACATAAGAAATGTGCAGGAAATTTTTGTTTGTTTTTCTGGGGTGATGGAAAAATCAAGTGTAAACTCCAGATCCAATCAGAGTATCGTAGCGGGTACAGAGGTGCCAGGCACTTCCTAATGGCAGGGGCAGGGGCAGGGGTGAGGGCAGAGCAGTGGCAAGCGCCTTGATTCTGACTCTCACCCCAGGACCGCAGAATCTTTTGAGTCTTAGGGTCAGGACCTTAGTATCTGCATTGCTGAGGTCCTCTGAACCTCATAGGGTCGACTGAGGACCCTTACAGCTCAGACTATTGACTTTTCAGGACACTACAAAGTTGCCCGGAGTCCTGTTCCGTTGGGTAAGTTCAAACCCACCAGTTGCTCGTCGGAAACCCTAAACAGGATAGCTATGCGTGCGAACCAACTCAGGGTACTTAACAGCAATAACAACACGGACGTGGCCCAGATCAGGCACTCCTCACCACGTTCTCTTTGCTCCCAGTACAAAAACCAATGTTTGGTATCAGTTCCTGCCTTTAGTTCATTGACTTTAGTTTTTGGTCACCTGATTTACATGAGCCATCGAAGGTAACCCAATTAGTACTTCCGCCTTCTATGCGCTTAACAAGCCATTGCGCCCGCCCTCCGGATGCTCTGATTGGTCATCCTCTTTCAACTCGTCAATTTCCTGGCCAGCACCGTGAATTCGCAGTCAAGAAGGGGTCCGAGGGCTGTGTCAGCGGGGCAGGGCAGCCATGGCATCCTATTTCGATGAGCACGACTGCGAACCGTTGGACCAGGAGGCTCGAACCAACATGCTGCTGGAACTCGCAAGGTGGGTGCTCACGGCCGAGAGAGTCGGCTCTCGGGAGGTGGGTACCAAGAAGGCAGTTTGGTTCTGGGCTGGGATTGCCTGGAGAACGCGGATTATCTGGGGCAGCGACTGAATGAATTATCCGGGGTGTCGTCCAGGTGTCGAGATTCTGGATGATTTGGGTCGTCAGGGCGGGCCCGGACAAGGGGATTCTGGGGAAGACAGGAACTAGAGGCTGGTGGGAGCAAAGGGCAGCGAGGTCTAGGATATACCGGAGGAGGAGGGTCTTGGGGGACAGAGGAGGGCCGTGTGGGTGTCAGTAGGTAGCCAACACTGCGGACTTGGAATATGGCACTACCAGGTCATAACTCCATGGCTTGAGTAACTTCCTTCAATCTGTTGCCTCATGTGTGAAATGAGAATAAACATTGCGCATATACTGGGGCTGGATGATGGCAGCCCTAAGCTATTTTCCACCGTGGTTTTTACCCAGGGACTACCAGCTGGGCAGGGTATTTATCTGCTCATGCCCAGTTGGTTTTAGGGAGCATGAAGAACTATCCTTTTCCTAGCTTTTGACCTTGCATCCTCCTTCTCAGGTCGCTCTTCAATAGGATGGACTTTGAAGACTTGGGGTTGGTAGTAGATTGGGATCACCATCTGCCTCCACCTGCTGCCAAGGCTGTGGTGGAGAACCTCCCCAGGACAATCATAAGGGGCTCTCTGGCTGGTGAGGACAGGAATTCCCTGTGCTGTTTGGGGCAGGTCTACCAGACTCATCCCCTCTCCAAGTCACACTGCTCTGGTCCTTCAGTTTCCCAGACCAGGCTGGGGCAAGAGTCCCCTTTAGGAGTGGGAGCTGGGGGGCCGGGCCCACAGCAGCTCTCCTGATCAGCACTCCTTCTCAAAGAGCTCAAGTGCCCCATGGGTCTTTTGGAATTTGAGGAGGAGGAGACTGCCATTGAGATGCCTTGCCATCACCTCTTTCACTCCAACTGCATTCTGCCCTGGCTAAGTAAGGTACTGCTTCCCTTCCAAATCCACCATGCTCCAGGCCCTGTTCTCATCTGCTTATAAACTGTTAGGGGATTGAAGAAGGGGTGGGGTGAGAATTAGGATCAGGGGAGAAATCTTGGCCAGACCCAGGCTGGAACACTACCTTGCTTTTCCCAGACAAATTCCTGCCCCCTCTGCCGCCATGAGCTGCCCACTGATGATGACACTTATGAAGAGCACAGACGAGACAAGGTAGGTGCTGGAGGAGGAGGTTCCAGGGAGCATCCTTTACCCCCATCACTGCTTTACATCTTGATTGGCCTGTGTAGGTTCTCAGAACTCCTGGCTCTCGTCACCTTTCAGTGATTTTGGTGAAAGGTGAACACTTCGGCAATACAAATGCAATGCTAGAGGCCTGCAACCTGTGAGCCAGTGGCCTCCAGTTACCTCATCCCTCACTCATAGGCCCTTAAGGGTGGTCTACCCTTGGTGCCCTGTTTCTCCCAGGCTCGCAAGCAGCAGCAGCAGCACCGACTTGAGAACCTCCATGGAGCCATGTACACATGAGGCAACTACGGCTGAGCACCAGCCCTCCACAACATCTTCCTTTTGAACCTTGAATCCTCATTAAAGGTTTCTTTATCCACTCTTTGGCTGCATTGCTAACAGGTCTGAGCAGGAGCGGGAGCTCTGCACCTTCAGGTCTTAGTGCTATGGGAGACTTCTGTTGTTATGTGCCGTGGAGTTTGTTTTGACTCATAATGACCCTGAACAGCGTTTCCTAGGCTATATGTATGGGAACAGAAAGCCTCATCTTTCTCCTGTGGGAACAGCTGGTAGTTTCGAACTGCTGACCATGAGATTAGCAGTCTGATTCATAACCACTACACTACCAGAGCTCCTTGGGAGAAGGTGGTCCCAAATACAGAAGGCTCCAGGCTTTATTTCCCTCCTAACCAAGCCTGCTGGACTCAGGACAGCAAAGAACCTGGCCACTGGACCAACTAGGACGTAAGCCTGTGTGTTCATGGCTGGAAGGGAAAATGAGTCAGGAACTAGCTACATAAAGTTGGTAGAGAAAAACGAGTTCATATTTTACCCTACCCCCTACAATTTTTAGTTAACCTTGGAATCCCAGAGGCTTTCTATAGCTTTTCACCTTTTAAAGTTACACCTCAACCCCACAAATAAATGTTCAAATCAGAGTCTGAGATGGGGGAAGAAAGTGTGAATGAGATTATCACACCAGATAAATTCTTGAGGGAAATTCAGTGGGTACCTGGCATCCTTGGCACCTGGCTGCCCTGTTGTCAGAGCAGGGGGCACTCAGGACTCTTCCTGGGAGAGAGGCTTCTTTCCACTCTCTGTTGTCTTATCTAGGGAAAACTGTCCTGATTTTCCAGAACAGACTACAAACATGCAAATTAGAACTCTTTTTAATAGATATAAAAAAAAGTACTAAAATACCCACATGGTTCTGCTGTGTTATTTGCCCTATAGGAAGTGGGGGGCAGAGTGAAGCATCCCAGTGGGGCCTCCAAAGTGGGCCTTCCCAAACTAGGGTATGCTCAACCTCCTTTCTCCCCCCCACCAGATTTCAACCCCTCCTGCCTTTCCCAGCTCCCAATTTCTGCAGCAGGAAACCCCAGTGATCTGGCCTTAGAACTGGGGAGTAGAAGGCACCTGAAAGGCTGGCTGGGCAAATGAAGACAGGTGACCTTAAAACACCGCCCACCCCGTGGGTGGGGGAACAGCAGCTGGGCAGCTGGCAGAGCTGCTCTACTATGGCACAGGTGGATGTGGGATAGCCACTCCTCCAGGAGAGAGGAAGCCTGCCTCCCAATAGAATACTTTCTCAAAAGTGTTTTTGGTACAAAATAAATGCAAAGTAGATGGGGTTGGGAGCTTCGGGGACTGGGCCAGCCACCCACCCCAGATCTCAGATCATGGCGATGTTTTCAGGGGCACAGTTGAGGTGTGTAGAGGTGCTACTGCTCCCTGAGGATTTGCAGGCTCTGCCCGAGGCAGGCTGTAGCGCAGCCACCAGCGTGTCTGAGGAGACTGCCCCAAACTCATAGCTGAAGGTACCATAGAAAACAAGGATGTCAATGACAAATACCCACTCGCACAGGGCTGCCCCGTGCTGCAGCTGAGAACTCTCGTGGACAAAGAAGACCCCACCTGGAAGGAGGTTAAGGAAGTGCTTGGTAGGGTGTTTGGGAACCTAGTGACACTTCCACACGCCTGCATTTTGTGATATGTAACTTAACCCCGTGCTGACACATTGATGCTGACTCATGGTGACCCCACATGTGCAGAGTAGAACTGTGCTCCACAGGGTTTTCAAGGCTGTGTGACCTTTGGAAGATAGCCAGGCTTTTCTTCTGAGGCACTTCTGGATGTGTTCAAACTGCAAACTTTTCAGTTAGTAGTGAAGCATGTGAACTGTTACACCACCCAGGGACTCCAGATATAAAACTAAGCTAGGGCAAGGGATCAAGGAGCCCTGGTGGAGGTGGTGGTTCAAACCCACCAGCTGCTCTGTAGGAAAAAAGATTTTCAGAAATCCTATGTAGGGTCTCTATGATGGCAGTGGGTTTGGTTTGGGGTTTAGGGCAAAGGATCAAGACACCCCTCCTATGGAAGGAAAGCAAAAGATACACCAGGCAGTATTACCGGAGCTGTCTGTACCACATCACCCCCTAGGCCCCCCACCTTGCTTTAAGTGAGAGAGTTCCTAGTTACCCAATCCTGGAAGGATACTGAGAACCAGGAAGACAAAGGCCACAACAGCCAGCACGCTCCGCAGGTGGGCCATAGCTAGGTCCAGGGGTGCAGTGGCCCCATGGTAGGAGAGGGCACAGTGCAGGCAGACGAAGAGCAGCCCAGCAGGGAAGGCCACACCGGCTCCGATGTAGTGCAGAGACTTAGCGTGATCCACCTGGGTTCAGAGGAGAGGGGCTGCTCAGTGAAGAGGTGCCTTCCCCCATTACTGTCTCTGCACTTCTTCCTAATTGCCCTTTCCATGGCTCCTCTTGTTCTCCCCTCTCACTTCAGTCCCTTTTACCCCCCTCCCCCCAACCTGGAGGTGCTGCCCCTCCTTGCAGGCAACCAAGACCTGTTGGGGAAACATTCTCAGAAGGGCCAGGCGCACCTGAAAGTTGCCGACTACCACGAGGCCGGCAGCATTGGTGCAGCCAGTGATGAGTGCTGTAGTGTTGACCCAGGAGTGGCGACTCCGCTCCAGAAGCTGCCCATAGCGCAGGAGGCAGATCAGAGCCACTGGGGAGGAGAGCATGGGTGGGGCCAGCCCTGGCGCCTGCCTCCCTCAGCTCCACCACTATCTTCCTCCTAGATGCTCAGATCCTCCTGCCCCTGAGGGCATGGAGTGGGATGGGCAGTGGTCAACTGGGTTTTCCAAGGATCCTGTCTGAAGGAATTAGCCTTTGGGCCCTGATCACAAAAGACAGTCCTCTTGCCTTAGGTTGCTCTGGGTTTCCTGGGCCTTTCTGAGGAGGGGCTGGTGCTGGTAAGGTGGGGTGTAGGTGGGGTTTGCCCAGGACTTGGGAGGGGAGTCAAGGGCTGAACTCACCCATGAAAGCACCCACGTTGCCAATGAGGCTGAAGAGGCAGCTCTCTGGGGGATATGTGCCACATTTGCTGTGAGGAAAGGGTAAGGACAGAGGGAGAGTGGGTGAGGAGGCCCCCACTGTGGACCTGTTCCTAAGCAGACAGCTTTCAGGGAGGTGAGAGATAAGGGATTGCTCGCAGAGATGGCTTGCCTGCCCTGACACTCTTCCTGCAATGGCTGCAGCTGCTCTGGCTTTTTTTGAGTCAGAGCTTGCCCTGGGCGATCAGAGGGCTTGGCCTTAAATCCAGGTGCCTTCACTTACTAGCTGTGCAGCTTGGACAAACATAACTCTGAGCCACAGTTTCCTCACCGATAAAATGGCTACCTCAGAGCTGAAAAAATTCAATGAGATTATGCATAGAAATGTTCTGGACAAATGACGGACACATAGTAACTGTCAGGTAGTATTGTTATTTAGTGTCTAATAATATAATGAAGGAGTCCTGGTGTGGCGCTGTGGGTCAAAGCGCTGGACTGCAAAACTGGTTGGAACCACAAGGTTGGCGGTTCAAACTCAACAGCTGTCCCTCAGAAACCCTATACAGGGTAGCTATGGGTCTGAACCGACTTGATGTCACTTAACAACAAAAACAACAAATATAATGACGTACTGGTGGCACTGTAGGATTAGCACTGGACTGCTAACCATAAGGTCAGCTATTTGAATCCACCAGCCGATCCTCGGGAAGAGGATGAGGCTTTCTGCTTCTGTAAAGATTTACAGCCTTGGGAACCCTCTACAGGGTGGCTATGAGTTGGAGCTAACTAGATGGTACTTAACAATAATATCATTATTCCTGAGCACCCAGAACAAACCTTTGCTTGAGGGCCTTGGGTCTCCCTGATCAGCCCGATTCCAGCCTTACCTGATGAGGGGAACATCGTCCAGGGTGCAGCAGGTCTTGGGGCCTCCTTGCTCGGTGGGATCAGGCAAGCAGGACTCATTGTAGGACCTGAAAATCAGGCAGGACAGAGAGTAGACTGGGGCGAGGGGGGCCCCCCAGGTCTTCTGCCTATAGCCTCAGACCTCCCAGAGGAACCCCTCCCAAGCCTCCCTCTGCAGGGGCAGAAATGCCCACTCCCCAGGGCCTGCCTGAAACAAAAGCCACAGGGGGAGAAGGGGTGGGGGAAGCAGGTAGATGGGCACAAAGCCATGCCTGGGGAGGGGCAGGTGCTGCCAATGTCAGAGAAGAGCAGTGAGGCCCAGGGTCTCCATCTGGCTTGCAGCAGCCCCTGGACCCAAGAGGGAACAGAGATGAAGGGAGCTTTAGAGTGAGGCTGTCTGCAGAGTGCGCCATACCAGTTCTCCACAGGACACACGTGGCGGTTCATCACGGCCATGGCATACCTGCGAGAGCAGAGCTGTCACCCGCCCCACTCCTCACAGCCAGCCTCCCCTCACCGACTTCTCTTCTCCCTTGATTTTGGGGCCCAGTCAGCTTTCAATCCTTGTTAAAAAGTTACAAGACTCTGGAGTTGCAGTGGCTCTGAGGCTTGGTGCCACACCAGAGCCCCACTGACACAGTGCAGTCCCCCTGGCTAGAAGTACGGCTCTCAGGGCCACCCTGTAGGGCCAGCAGCGGTGCCAGCTCATCCCCAGGAGCTGTGTGCCCAGGCACCAGGCCAGGCTTCAGAGTGGCTCAAAGTCCCATCCTGGAGCCTGCAACAGGGACGAGGGACTTTGTGTGTGCCACCAAGCTCCTCTGGGCTCTATCCCTCTTTCGCTTGAACCCCATCTTGCCTTCTAGCTAGCCCTCCTGGCTGCCTCTGCCCCTCCTTACTCACACAGTCCATATGCCAGTGATGGAGAATGCTGACAGGCTGACAGGAAGGAGGATCCAGGCGGTCATGAGGGAGGGGAGCCAGGGTGGTGGTGGTGGTGGGGAGGACAGGAGGTAGGTGGGGAGGAGGGCGCGAGCCCTGCTACCTTAAGCTACTTCTTCGGCTACAACCATCAGCTGCCCTGGCCTGGTGGAAAGAGACAGGTCAAAGTGCAGGGTCCGTGACTGGACATGAGGGGGTTGGGGAGGTGGGCAACATCTGATCCGAAGTTCACGCTGAGCCTTTTTAGGCTGAGTGTACGTCACAACGTGGGCACCCCGTGGCATCCATGGGGGGCAGCCGGGGTCCACCCAAATGCCCCCGGAGTGCTCAGAGATTCAGGTGGGGCCACAACACTAGGATCACCCTCCTCGTCTGAGGGTCCCAGGATGGTAATCAAGGGGGCTGTGCCAAGAAAAGCCTGCGAAGGGGTAAGAAGCCCGGTGGAGGGCTGCAGGACCGCGAGACGCCCGCGCGCAGGCTGCCACCTGACCACGGCGCCCTGGGGAAGGGGCGGGTTCAGGCGGGAAGCCCGCCCCGGCCCCCCCCGCTTGCGTGGGCGCGAGGACCCAGACTCAGGCATGAAGCCCACTGCCGGCAAGCCCCCCCAGGACCCGGGGACACGAGCCTTCCCAGGTGATCCCTGGAGGCCCAGGAAGGTGAGAGTCTCCGCGGGAAGGGAAGGGGCCCAGTACGCACCTCCCGGGAGCGCTTGTCGCCTTCGCGCCCCGCCCGTTCAGCCCCCTCGTGGCGCTGTCTCTGGCTGCGGCTCTCGGAGCAGCCCTGAAAGGTTTAAAGGGCCGAGCGGCCCCGCCCCTAGCGGCCCCAGGCCGCGCCGCACCGCCCGCCGGGACGTGGAGTCCGCGCGGCCCGAGCCCGGGCCCCAGCGCCCGACCCGAGACTACAATTCCCGAGCCCCCGCGCCCGCGTCACGGTAGAAATGTGGGCGGTGCCCCCACTTCGGGGGACCTGGGCGCCGAGGGCTGTGGCCTGGGGACCCGAACGGATGCTCCGATACGAGATTCCAGTTTTGTCCTGTTTACCCTGTTCCTACAGTGGGAGCTCTGGGAGGCCGGAGCCCTCGGGGGCCGGCCAGCCTTCCAATTCCACCTGTGATTGTCATCGTGCACATGGTCGGAGGAAGCCTCCCTCCGCCGCTGGGCACTTTTTACTATCTGTTCTGGCGACACTGAGACTTCAGGGAAGCTGCCTCAACAAGACGCCCGGTGCCTGCCTGGGTCTGAGGGCGCGAGGCGGGTCCGCAGAGAAGGGAGCACAAAGCTTTGCTGTTCCTTAAGAAAGCCTTGGATTTGGCTTCTGCTTTTCTCCACCCACCGAACTCTGAAGGAGGGCTCCTTTCATCAGATACTTAATTTTCAAGTTGTACCAGTACAGAAAGTACTGTCCAGAAGTCATGTGACTAAGAGATGGTTCCTGACTACTGGACACTTACTGGAAACCAGGCCGAAGAGCCCAATGGCTGGCTACCCGTTCTAAATTGATACTTTATGGTCAAATGTAGGGTAGGTGTTAATACAGCCAGGTGTTGGTAAGCAAAGAGAGCAAGGTAGAGAGACCGAGAGGGATCAGGGAAAAGGAAACTAAGAATAAATAGCATGAAAATGAATGATTAAATAAATGACTAACAACAGCAGTTTTAAGGAGCTCTGGTAGCCTAGTGATTACAAATCGGGCTGTTAACCAGCGGTTCTGCAGGAGAAAGGTGAGGCTCTCTGCTCCTGTGCAAGGGCACTATGAGTCGGAACAGACTCCATGGCACATAATAACCACCACCACCAACACAGCAGTTTTACCAGCACCTACTGATCAGACTGTTCTCCCTGACACTCTTTTAACAATTGAAAGGGTGAAACTACTTCCTTTCGCATACCAGAAATGTGCCTAGTAAGTGTGGCTGGCACACAGAGTACCAGCCATTATACATTTTTCTGTCCCCAGTATCTGTTGCAGTCCTTTTGAGACAAAATGGGCAGATCTAGAAAGAATGGACCTAGCTGCCAGGAGTAAGGCAACAATGGTGAGGCAAATGTTATATGCAGCGATGGCCATGTGCCGTGGAGAAAGCAGAATAAACTGGACAAGGGTTTGAAGTGGGAAAACCATTTTTGGAACCAAAGGAAGAGGGGAATAGAAATCAGAAGTCCTTTGAAAAGCCTTTAAACTTTTTTTTTTTTTTTTTACAAACGTCATCATATGCAGAACAAGTAGATAAACCTGGGCTAAAATGGATCTGTGCTCTGTACAAGAACTGGATGAATGGGGGATAAAATCCAGTCCACCTTCTGCTGGTCCTGCTCTGTTTTGGGGTGAAGGGGTTCCTTTCTAATTTACTAAAAGGCATCTCCATTGTAGTAGGCACCTTTCTCTTCTGTCCAACTGTGCTATGAATCCTCTCAGCATTTCCTACTTTCTTGGTGGAAACTTTGTAACCCTTAACACTTATTGGCATCAACTTTTGAGCTGGCGTTGAGTCCCTGTCCAACTATCTGCTTTCTCAGGTGAAGGCCTGAGAAAGCTACTCAAGGCACCAGGCGGAAGTGGACACAAGACATACACTCCTTCTTATATACTGTGATAAGGCAGCCCATTTGGGCCTACTGTGAATTTTAGTGGTTCATAAAGTAGAATTGCCCCAAGATAGTGCTATCATAGGACTCTTGATGGGGAGTAGGGCCAGAAGTCTTTAAAAGTCCCTTCTAACTCTGAGGCTACAGGAGTCTTGTTCTGCTTCAACCAGGATGGCTCTTAAAATAGCCAAAGAGCCAGTCCTGAATTCCATGGTGGTGTGAATGACTTTAGGGCAGGCATTTAATCTACATCTCTCTTAGGTACACAAATGATTTCACAACTTGTTCATGGAAAACCAGTGCTCTAAAAATAGTGTTTATTGGTTTTTAAAAAATACTGTATTTGAAAAGTACCTTTCTTCCAGTATTTCCAAAAAAATTTTGCACAGATCTTATTCACTCACACAGCAAAAACATTGAAAATGAGAACTCAGAAGAATGTATGGCTTTTTATAGACTTAACACCACAACATAATCAGTACAACCAGTCTCACTGTTGACTCTGAGAAGGCAGAGGAGGTATTCACTCACTCGGAAGGTTTTCTCTTCTAGCATTACTCCACCTCTTCGGGGATCTGGGGTGGGTGCCTATGGCTTCTTGGCTATCTGATCCTCATTGAGAGGGCAGGAATTCATGGAGAGGTTAACAGATATTTCAAATATTTGGTAACATTCTGCAGTTTCTACCAAGAGATGGCTCAGATGTAGGAAAGTAATCTGTCTTTACTCCTCTTTCTACCTGCAACAGCCTCATTTTGAATCATCTGGAGAGACCCATTGCTCACACGGCTTCTGCTAAATACACAGTAGAGGTTGGGAGGGCTTCCTCCAGTTGCAGGAGCTAATCTCTAGTTGGCAGTGGCCCTCAGAGTGGATCACAGAGATGGAATGCCCCTTTCAGAGACGCTTGTGGAAGAGCATTTGATACTGCCCACGATGGTCCTACCGGCTGGCTGACCTCCAGAGGCTCCTACTCTTGCATAGTACCAAAAGGTTTATATTCTTCAAAAAGTTCCAGGCTTGCCAACGGGCTAGATCTCAAGGTTCAGTGTTTACACTTGCACAGCCCACAATCCTGCAAACCCCAGCTTCCATTTGTAAGATCATCCATTGTAACCCAGGAAACACAAAGACTTAAAATTGACGACTTACCCCCAATAAGAAAAAAAACATTTCACTTTGGGTGGGCTCGAGATATGCTTGTCAAGCATTATCTTTTTTCTTAAGACAGCTGCAAACATATCTAGTCAAGTGAGTGGTGATTTGAAAGTCAGATCGCTGCTTTAGAACTGATTAAGGCAGAGTCCACTTAATGCAACAGTTGCCACTATACCACACAGCCCGGGCTGTCTCGAGAGACTGCCAGAAATGCTGTGCAACATGTTATTTGATGGCAAAGCAAAAACTTCTGAAAATAGCTGAGACATGTCTGAAGCCAAACCTGGTATATAATCTAGATAATATTATGTTGGAGACCCCAATGCTGTTGTTATTGGGGGACATCAAGTTGATTTTTTGACTCATTAGTAACCCCATGTAACAAAGCAGGACTGCCCCTAGGGTTTGAGTTTTTTCAGTGAGAATCACCAGGTCTTTCACCTACAGTGGGTTTTAGCCACCAACCTTTAGGTTGGCAGCTGAGTGCTTAACCACTGTGCCACTAGGGCTCCTCAAGGACTCCAGATGAGGGCTGGTAATAATCAATGCAGCCATCAGCTGGCTCTGAAGGCAACCTAGAGAGGCATTCCAGACATGTCCGAAGCAATGGCAGCATCACAGAAAGGTGTAAACCTCCGAGGGACCAACTTTGAAGGGCAATCTCTCAGTTAAATATCAGGCTTAATTCTTTACATAGTCACAATGTGTACAGCAACTGTCAATGACAGTGCTTTCATGGAGAGAAAGTACACATACTTCAGAAGCAAAGTGTCTCAAGACAAAAAGTTTAAGTGCAAGGAGTTCCCATCAGTCTCCAAACTGAGGTCTTTGTGAGGATTACCTAAAACAGAAAAGAACACAACAGGTTCACACTAAACCCTGCCTAAACTTCTTTAGTCTGAGCCAAGGAGAGACAGCTAGGGGTGAGACTAAAATTGCAGGTGCCATGCCCGAACTCTTCTGGGTTTGGTTCCAAGTTCTATAATAAAACCAGGAAACTGGTGATCCACCTATGTGAAAACAGACCCAAAAAGTATTTTCCGACTAGGGAGCCCAGTGAAATACTATGTTCCAAGTCACGAGGTCAGAGAAAGAGCTGGAAGGCAAACATTACTGATCCTCTGATTTGCAGGAAGAATAAGGGTGGAGTCTGGCAAGCCTTGTCCCATGAGGTTTTGGAGGGTAGTTAATATTGTAAGTCAAAAGGCACTTCCAGGTGAGCTGAAGAAGAGGGCATAGATATTCTTCAAAGTAGAATGAAGCACAGGACTGGCAAATTGAAGGCATTTAACCTTGGGCTGGCTCTGTGGGCTAAGTGTCCTCTGAACGCCTCACAACCTAGGCCCTAACTTACCCACCTCATTCCCCTTCCCAGCATTCCTGGCATTGCAAGCTATGGTTTGCTGCATTTTAAAGGTTTAAGTAGCTGCCTTGCCCCATTTCTGAGGCAGTAGACTTTCAGAGGTGTAAAGTACAAACCAACAGTGTCCTCAGGTGTCATAAGAGAAGAGTTGCTGAGAAAGATGCAATAGCCTACAGCCAGACTGACCTTGAGAACCTGGATGCAGAGAAACCCAAGGCAGGGGGTTTGGTTCAGAAGTCTTGTTGTTAAATGCCGTGGAATTGATTCAGACCCATAGTGATCCTGTATAGGGGTTTCTGAGGAGCAGCTGGTAAGCCTGAACCACCAACCTTGCAGTTCAAAGTGACTTTGCAGTCCAGTACATTAACCCAGAGTGCCACACCAGGACTCCTCAGAAGTCTTAGTGCTCCCTGAAACCCCGCATTTCAAGTCACTGAGATGAGGCTGACTTGCTGGAAAGCTGAAGTGGTTCCAAACCTTGGTATGCATGCCTGATGGAGGTCTCAGGCCTTAGCTTCACTCAGCATTAGGAAATATGTCCACTAGGTGGAAACAGTGATATTCCTGAGGATCTTTATTCCAAGGGTCTCAGTTTATGCACTTTGCAAGTTAGGAAAGGAGAAGCCATGGGGAAGAGAGGGGCAGAAAACAGAGGCTCACTTTATTCCGTTTGCCGCATGGTTCAGAACTTTTTGCTAATGTTGAAGTCCCCTTTGTAGGTTTGCTGTTCACATTTGGGAAAGTTGGTTTCAATCTTTTTTTGACAACTTCTTTAGTCTGAGCAAAGGAGAGACAGCTAGGGATGAGGTCAAAAGCTAGCATTCCATAGTCCTGGCCAAGGCTGGCTTTGCTAAAAGAAATCATTGCAGTTTATTTCTGGTATCTTCTTAGGTTTCCTACTTGTAAGGCAGTGGGGCAGGTGAGGAACTTGCAAAAGGAGGCAGAGTTGTAAATAGGTCCCCAAGTGAAGACTTGGAGGCTTTTTTGGAAAGGTAGGCCCCAGAACCCTCTACCTCCAAAGTTCTCAAACAGCTGGAGGTACACAAACCACGATCTACAACTTCAGCGAGGCTCTGCTAGTATCAGTATCCACAGAAGCTGTTATAGGAGGGTGGGGCTAGAGGGGCAACCAGTGAATTCTACCTGAGGCAAAAAGATGGGAGAAAAGAAAGAACAAAGAAATTGATCTGAGAACATGGCACTGGATGGAAATGAGCAGACATGTAAAAGAAAGAAACCATGAAAGTCGCCAACATGGGCATGGTGCTGGGTGGAACAGCAGCAGCCAAGTGTCCCATGGCACCAGACCTCAGTGATGGCACAATGCTTCAGAAACCCCAGCTCTTCCTGGAGTCTTAGCATCCAGAAAACACCAAGCTAGTTGAACAAAATGCTCCAAAAAATCCAGAATGTCAGGCTAGTCAAATGGGTCAACATACAGTAAGAGAATGGCTGCAAGAGAGGAGACGAGTCCTGCAATACCCTTCTCCTGTGGATGTAGCAGTTCTGTGGAGGGGTCTGAAGATCATCAGTTGGGCTTGGCACCCTCGAACTAGTAGTAAGCTCTTTTGAGTGCAGTAAACCCAGCCTGGAGTGTATATGTGCAGTCGGGTCAGCGCTGGCTCTGTCGTTTTGCAATCTCTTCCTGGATGCGCAATTTGAGGGCTTCTCGCATGAGTGGATCCAGAGGTGTGTGTGCTGACACCTCCTCACTCACCCTTCCTGGGTCATCGTCCTATGTGGAGGAAGAGTCAGGAGTTCAGGGCCTAGCGTCTTCTGGAAAGGCAGCCTGCCCTGTCCCTAGACAACACTCACAGAACTCCTTTTGGCTCACGACTTCTTGCTAGCTTTTGTCACTTCCCAGGTTATCCCCTGTAATAGTGAGTCTCAAGTGGGGGGCCACAGCTTTCTCTGTTCCCCTCTCAGAATCACTGTGTGACGGGAGTCAGTTGTGCTTGTAAAGCACCGCCCGCAGTCCTATGCTCCCAGGCGGAGCACACACTTCCCCCTGGCCCTGAGGAAAACTGTGATTCAGGGTCTGGTGGTTATTTCTCCCATGGCCCAGCACCTCCAGGCTGCAGCTGTTTTCACAAGGCATACCTGGTATACGATCACTGATGTGACCTCTCCGCTGTCCGCCTCATATTCTAAGCAGAAGAGCGGGTGGCCCGGAGGCTCCGGCTCAGAGCCGCCACTGCTGCTGCTGTCACCGGACTCCTCATAGTCTGGGTGGCTTGGGTGGGTAGAACCACCTGGAGGGATGAACCAGAGTGAGAGGGAAGAGGAGGAGGAGGCTGGTAGAGCCCCAGCCCCATGAGATGATGCAGGAAAACATTCTATAAACAAAGTCCCAATCTTCTTATAGGCCCAGAAGTGTATGTGTGTATGGGTGTGTGAATGTGGAGTGCTACCAATCAAGAACACTTTTATTTACCTTGATGTCCTTGGCTAGAGCCCAGTACAGTCCTGTCACATAGTAGGTAACGGCAGTGTATATCTGTCTAGTGAATAGGATTGGAAGATGACAGAAGAGCTACTTCCAAGGTTCAAATCGAAGCTCTGCTATTTAGTACCTCTGAGATTTTGGACAAGTTACTCCCTCGGCTTCAGTGTCCCCACCAGTGTAACAGATAAAACAATAATTTCCATTTTATGGGGGTTCTTTAAGACTAAATGAATTGTTGTTGTTGTTGTAAAGTGCTGTCGAGTTGGTTTCGACCCATAGCGACCCTGTAAAGGGTTTCAAGGAGCAGCTGGTGAGCTTGAGCCACTGACCTTGCAGTTCAAACGGTTTTGCAGTCTGGTGCATTAACCCACAGCACCACACCAGGACTCCACTAAATAAATTGCTATTGTTGTTGTTAAGTGCCGTGGAGTCGGTTCTGACCCATAGCGACCCTGAACAGGGTTTCCGAGGCTGTAAATCTTTATGGGAGCAGAAAGCCTCATCTTTCTCCCGCGGAGTAGCTGGTAGTTTTGAACTGCTGACCTTACGGTTTGCAGCCCGATTCGTAACCACTACGCTACCAGAGCTCCTACTAAATGAATTAGTGTACTTAAAAAGGCAAAAATACCAAATGATACTTAACAAGTTTAGTGCTGTTAGCTACTGTGGTCCTTGTATCACAGGGTAGCTAGGGAAAATCCATCTACTGAGTTTGGGCTTTGTTTCACATTTGTGTCCTGGTCATTTCTAGCTGTGCCAGGCTTTCTATCAGCTAAATACTGGGGATACAGAGATACAGTATGGCGACACAAAGCTGCACACAACTTTCTGTCGGCCCTGTTAATTCCTAGGTATCCCCCGTAATAGAAATATTCTTAACTGGGGGCTATCAGCCCTCTCTGTTCCCAGGGAGATAACAGAGGTAGGGGACCAGTGGATGACGGTTCCGGGCAGGGACAAGGTGAGCTGAGCCTTGGGGGATAAGAAGCTTTTTTTTCCAGACAGAAGGGGGAGTGCGTCGCAACAGAAGGCGCGCGTGCTGGAGGAGGCAGGCGGGGCGGGCGGCCTCACCTCGGCGTCGCGGCAGGTACACCTGCAGATCGGGCTTGCGAGGCCTCGTTGGCGCAGGCGTGTGCCGCCTCCTCGCCTTCTCCTTGGCTGCCTGCTTCACCTTCTTGTCGTAGTCATCCCTGCGGGGAGCCGAGTGGGAGTCAGGGGCTGTAGGGCCGGGCCAGGCACGGGGCTGCGGCGGCACGGGGTGGGGCGGTACCGAGCGAGTTGGTTCTGTCGGATGTGATGCACGAAGCCGTGGCTCATGTCTAGTCGCCCGCCGGGTTTGCAGCACAGCCCCGGCCCGGGATCCGGCGCCGCCTCCATCTGAAGCCTTGTTTACAGGGCAGCCAAAGCCTCAACAATCTCCCTCTACTCGAAAGAAGTCCTCCTCTGTCCTCGCTTGACTTCCGCCACCGTGTCGTGACTTCCGGTCTTGGGAATCCAGTGGGCCGAACGATGCGGTGCGCTAAGCTGAATTGATGTTGGCTTGGGTGGTTAGGGGGTGAGAGGAGATGCCAGAAAAACTTCCACCACCTGACGGATATTTATTTTCTTTGTAACATTATCAGTACGCGATGAGACCTGTGCTGATAAACCAAAATACATAAGAAAACTCGGAAAAAATACAAATCACCGATTACATCACTTAACGTTTGGTGCTGTAGCTTTCTTTTCTATCCCGGGCGGCGTGACCGTATCCCCCTGAGGCTGAGTTTCCACATTGTTAATGGGGACACGAATAGGATGGGCCTCCCTGGTTAGGAGGAAGCAATGTGCTGGAAGACCTGGACAAAGACGTCCTGCCTGCCGGACCAGTATAATATTGGAGCTGTCTTTTTTTTTTTTAAAGGGAAATTAGGAATTCATGATTAGAATATAGGGACCAATTGTGCTACATCCACATATCAATCAAAAAGAATGACGGTTGATGAACCAACAACATGAATGAATCCCCAAATAATTATGACGAGTGAAAGAAACCACTACAAATGAAAACAAAACCCCAAGAGTCTATTTATATAAAACTCTAGAATATGCAAATTAGTCTACAGGAACAGCAAATCAATGGGGTGGGGGTACATGTTTACATTCATTATCTTGATTGTGGTATTGGTTTCACTGATGTGTGCTTTAGTCAAAACTTATCAAATTATACACCGTAAACAGTTTGTTGTAAGTCAATTATACCTCAGTACCCCCACTGTCATTGACTTGATTCTGGCTCACAGTGACCTTGTGTAGGGTTTCCAAGGTGCCATTGAGTTGGTTCCTATTCATTTCCACCTTATGTACAACAGAATGAAACGGCCCATTCCTTCACCATCCTCACAATTGTCGTTATGCTTGAGCCCAAAGTTACTGCCACAGTGCCAATCCATCTTATTGGGGGTCTCCCTCTTTTTCACTGACCCTCCATTTTACCAAGCATATTGTCCTTCTCCAGGGACTGGTCCCTTCTAATAATAAGTCTGAAGTATGAGAGACACTAAGTCTAGTCGTCTTGGTTTCTAAGGCGCATTCTGGATTGCACTTCTTCCAACACAGATTTCTTTGCTCTTCTCCAATACCATAACTCAAATGAATCAGTTCTTCTATGGTCTTCCTTATTCACTGTCCATGTTTCACATGCATATGTTGCTGATTTTTGTTGTGAAGTGCCATCAAGTCGGTTCCAACTCATAGCATCCCTGCATAGGGTTTCCAAGGAGGAGCTGGTGGGTTTCAACTGCTGATCTTGTGGTTTGCAGTCCAGTGAATCTACATGCATATGAGGCTATTGAAAATATAATGGCTTGGGTCAGAAGCACCTCGGTCCTTAAACTGACATCTTTGCTTCTGAACACTTTAAAGAAGTCTTGTGTGGTAGATTTGCCTAATGCTTTACGTCTTTTGACTTCTTGACTGCTGCTTCCATGAGTATTGATGGTGGATCTCAGCAAAATGACAACTTCAATCGTTTCTCCATTTATCATGATGTTATTTATTAATCCAGCAGTGAGGATTTTTGTTTTCTTTACATTGAGGTGCAGTTGATACCTTAAATCTTTACAGGAGCAGAAAGCCTCCTCTTTCTTCCACAGAGGACTGGTGTCTTCCAAGTGCTGACCTTGGTTAGCAGCCCGCTATCTACCAGGGCTCAACTGTTATTTCTAAGTGCCGTAGAGCCGGCTTCCACTCGTAGCGATCCTGTATTGGGTTTCGAGTCTTAAATTCTTTTTGCGGAAACAGAAGACCTCATCTTTCTCCTGTGGTGTGACTGGTAGGCTCGAACCCAAGATCGTGTGGTTTACAGTCCAGTACTTGTCCTATGGAATGTTGTTGTTGTTAAGTGCTGTGGAGTAGGTTCTGACTCATAATGACCCTGTATAGGGTTTCTGAGGAGCAGCTGGTTGGCTTGAAATGCCGACCTTGTCGTTTGCAGTCCAGTGCTGATTCTACAGCACCACATCAGGAGTCCCCAGGGTTCAATCCAGGTATTAAAACAAGCAAGTACTGGCATCAGAAGGAAATGTGAAAAGTTATAGGTCCTGAAGCTTGAATTTTATAAGCTTGTTTATCAGCACAGAACCAGGGAATACCGCCTGGTTCTGTGCTGCGGCGTTGGTCTGCAAGACACTGACACCACAGAACCAGCCACGATTTTGGTTTTGGGCACACAGTGTCTTGAAGAAATCTGGGTCGGTATGGCAGCTTTTTAAAATTCATCAAGTCGGTAGCTAGTAAAAGGTTCCTGCCTTTTTAAACTGGAGATGTTGGGGTAAGGTGGCAGTAGGCCCACAAAGCCCTCAAGAGCGCACCGCGGAGCACCTCCCACAAGTTTCCTGCAGCGCGATTTGGCCCCTAGAGCGACTCGTAGAGTTCCTTGGGCTCGATAACAGAACCGCTCTTGATTGGCTGCTTTCGGAACGCTCCAGCGTGCTGGTGCCTGCGCGGGGCGACTCGGGCGGTAGTGGCAATGTCTAGCCGGTCCAAGAGGGAGTCTCGTAGTGCTGCCCGCGGGAAACGCGAGTCGGAGTCGCGGGGCAGTTCGAATCGCGTCAAGCGCGAGCGGGAGCGGGAGCCTGAGGCGGCGAGCTCCCGAAACAGCCCGGTGCGCGTGAAGCGGGAAGCAGAGCCCGCGGGCGCTCGCGAGGCCCCGGTGCCCGCCTTCCCGGTGGTGCGGGTGAAGCGGGAGCGCGAGGCCGATGAGGACTCCGAGCCTGAGCGGGAGGTGCGAGGTGCGCTGGGCCAGGCTGGGTCGGGTTGGGACGGACGGGCTCCCCCCTGCGTCATCCACCCTTTTTCCAACTTTTTGTGATTTCCCTGCAAGAGGTCGGGGTGGCAGGACCTAGGCACTAATGAGGACAGTACTAATATTAATAATGAAAATTCCTGCATGAACTAGAGGGTACTGATCTGAATGAGACTCATGGCGAACCCATATATACACTCCTTAGGGTTTTCAAGGCTGACCTTTTGGAAGCTGATCGCCCGGCCTTTCTTGTGAGTCTAACCTGGGGGTATTGGTGTCATCTCTGTTCTCATTCAGTATATTTGGGGTGGAAATGCAAATTCTCAGTGGAACTGGAATGAACTGATTAAAAATGCTGGTTATGCTGTAATTCCTTCAACCAGACTATTCCGAGTTGACAGCTGAAGCGGTGGGCACTGGCACCAAACTGGAGGTCCAGTTTCACTGTGTTTTGTACAAGTGGGTTTCACAGTCTTGCCTGTAAATTAGTGGAAATAGTCCTGCCAGTGAAATTGTTATTCCCCTTCATAAATTTCTTGGTTGCCTCCTTCCTCTGGACTCTCAGTATCCCCTAGTGCTTGTGAGTGGATGGGATCTGGAGAGCTCATCACCTGGCCTTGGTTTTCTGTCTGGCATGTTGTCTCTTCCTACTTATTGGAAGCCTTTTGTTGTTGGGTGCTGTGGAGTACCTTTCAACTCCATGTGTGCAGAGTAGAACTGCTCAGGGTATTCAAGACTGTGACACTTAAGCAGGCTTGCTTTCTGAAGCATCACATGGTGGATTCAAATGGCTAAACTTCTGTCCAGAGGTCGAGTACTTAGTTAATTGTGTCACCCAGAGAATCCTGTTGAAGGTCTGTCACCCATTAAGTAGGTCCTACTCCTGGTGTGACACTGTAGGATCAGCACTGGACTGTGAAACACAAGATCGGTGGTTCAAACCCATCAGCTGCTCCTCGGAAACCTGATACAGGGTTGCTATGAGTTGGAATCAACTTGATGACATTTAGCAACACTACCATCACCTTAGGGACTCCTGGTGTGGTGCTGTAGGATCAGCACTGGACTTTGAACCACAAGGTTGACAGTTCAAACCCACCAGTTGCTCCTTGGAAACCCTACACAGGGTTGCTATGAGTTAGAATTGACTTGATGGCACATCAACAACTACCAACTGTTGGATAAGCACAAGGTTAGCAGTTCAAGGGCACCAGCAGCTCCTTGGGAGAAAGACGAGGGTTTCCGCAGCTTCGGAAACTCTCTACAAGGTCACTGTGAGTCGGAACTGACTCAATGGCATTTAACACCACCACCTCTGAGGAGTCTCTGGGTGGTGGAAGTGGTTAATGCTCAGCTGCCAACCGAAAGATTGACCGAATGAGTTCTGAAAAGTCATCCATGGAGCACAGTTCTACTGTGACCCACATGGGGTCGTCATGAGCTGGAGTTGACCTGACAGCCCCTGGTTACTACCTCTGAAGCTTTTCCTGCCCAGTTTTACTTCTCTCAACTTTGTGTTCCGGACTTTAATGTACAAGGGGACTTCAAAAAAATTTGTGGGAAAATTTCATTCTCTTTAATTCCATTTTTCCAGTAACTTTTATGAAGCCCTCATGTATTTCTCTATACTTCATTCTGATGAATTAGTAGGAGCGTATTGAAATGGCAGCTGAATTGGGGAGAGCAGCTCTTGTTCTTCAGGACTTTACAATGCTCCTTTATGGTACTGTAGTTGTTATTAAGTACCATGGAGTTGGTTCCGACTCATAGCGACCCTGCACAGGGTTTCCAAAACTGTAAATCTTTACGGGAGCAGAAAGCCTCATCTTTCTTCCACAGAACCGCTCGTAGTTTTGAACTGCCAACCCTGAGGTTAGCAGCCCGATTTGTAACCACTACGCTACAAGAGCTCCTTTCTTCTCCTGTAAAGATTTACAGCTTCGGAAACCCTGTGCAGGGTAGCTATGAGTCGGAACCAACTCCACGGCACATAACCACCACCACCACCATGATAGTAATTCTTAAGCTCTGGTAGCGTAGTGGGTACAAGTCGGGCAGTTCAAAAGTACCAGCCATTATGCGGGAGAACGGTGAGGCTTTCTGCTCATGTAAAGATTTATAACTGCAGAAACCATATGAAGGGTCACTGTCAGTTGGAACCAACTCCACGGCACACCACCACCAGTATTCTTAAATTTCTTGCTCAGGATTCTCTGTTATATTTTTGTTTTATGTGCAGAGTCTAATCTAAATAGTTTTAGGGTTTTCTCTGATTTCCTTTACTTAAATAACTGTCACCTTCAGGCTACCCTTTTCTGGGAAATGAAATGGTTTGTGAGACATTTTGCATAATTGTGGCAAGGAAGTTGTTTTCACTGGTGAACATAACTAGGATCCCAGTTGCTGTTAATCTTAAAATTAAAAAAAAAAAATTGTGAAATAAATTGTAGGTACTAAGACTGAATTTACAATGAACAAGGATAGTTTAAAGATGTGTATGAATATGAGCTCTGGTTGTGTAGTGGTTACGAATCAGGCTGCGAACCTCAAGGTCAGCAGTTTGAAACTGCCAGCCGCTCCGTGGAATAAAGATGAGGCATTCTGCTTCTGTAAAGATTTACAGCCTTGGAAACCCTGTACAGGGTCGCTATGGGTCAGAACCTACTTGACGGCACTTTAACAACAACATGAATGTATGAGGAGGCTTTAAAAAGTTCATGGAAAAATGTAACTAAAAGAAAACGGAATTTTCTCATGAACTTTTTGAAGCTTTCCTTGCGTATCTTTAAATCTACAGCTTGTCAAGAACTGTGAAAGGTTTAAGATTTTACCCTGTTTGCGAGCTAACAAGTTAACCTGCCACAGTTGCATGTATACTGATAAAAGATTTGCACCTCCTAGGTTGGAGACAAAGGACAGTTTATTGTACAGTAACATCAGTAATGAGACTATTAGCATTTGTGTGAAATCCCTGAGTCACTATTCACAGGTAACATTAAGAGTCCATGTCATCCCTGTACACACTGTGGATTCCTTACAAGAGAGAAACCCTGAGCTTCAAGAACTTGTATCTTTTATAATGGGTACTGAACTTGCCTTTAGTTTGTTGTTGTTGTTTTTAAGTGTTGTCGAGTTGACTCCGATCCATAGCGACCTGGTATAGGGTTTCCAAAGAGCAGCTGCTGAGCTTGAACTGTCAACCTTGCAGTTAAAACAGCTTTGCAGTCTGGTGCATTACTTTGTAAGAGACAGTTTCTCTCTTTTAAGGATATATCCACATCCTTGACTTGATAATCTGGAGCCAAGGCAGCCAGTGCCTCTGGTCAGAAGATATATAGAAATGTGAGTCCACGGAGAATTGTTTCCTAACACCATGCACCTTAAGAAGTACCAGTAACTTAGAAACTTCTATAGGTCCCTTCCCAATTGTATCCGTTTCCTTTCCTGCTTAGATTATTGCTGTTTTGAGATTTCTTCAAGTTATTTTCTACTTTCCTTTTTAGTTTTATCTCATACATGTAACCTTAAGTTGTACAGTGTTTTATTTTGTTCTTGATATAGATGGAATCATACTGTATGTAATCTTTGCTTTGCCCTTTTCTTTGAGCTAGTCATATATTTGAGGTTTGTTCAAATAGATGTTCATATTCCACTGAGGATATGCTGTTGTTGTTAAGTCAAGTTGGTTCCGACTCATAGCGACCCTCTATGGGGTTTCTGAGGAGTGGCTGGTGAATTTGAACCGATAAGATGCAATTCAAATGACCTTGCGGTTGGTTCAGTGCTTATCCTACAGCGCCATACCTGGACTCCTTCATTGATGATATACCAAAATATGTTTCTTTGCGGTGGACATTTGGGTTGTCTCCAGTTTTGGCTTTTTAAAAAAGCATTGCTGCTATAACTATTTTGAAATAATGTCTCTTAGTGCATGTGTGTGGAAGTTTCTCTAGGGTGTGTATATTTCGAAGAGAAATTGCTGGGTCCAAGGGACTACATGCTTTTAGCTTTGATCCTGCCATACTATTTTCCAAAATGCTGTTCTAGCTTATACCTCCACTGGCAGTTCTTTAGTATTCCCGTTGCGCCGCCTATTTTCCAATACTTGGAATTCTCTCACTTTGTTTTTTACTCTCTGGTAGATGTGAAGTGGTATATCATGCACTAATGAGGTTGAACGTCTTGTAATGTATGTAGGCTGTCTTCCTCTTTTAAGAAATACCTTTCCATGTCTTTGGCCCATTTTTCTATTGGGTTATTTGTCTTTCTTAGTGATTCACAGAATTTCTATAAGTCTTCTATAAACAAAAACTTTATTGTGTTATGTGTGTTCCAGCTAGTCTCTTAGCTTGGTTTGTGTCATTAATGGTATTTTCAAATGTTGCAAGGCTGTTTGCATAAGGACCCATCTTGTTAGTTCATTCCATTCCTGTGTCCCTTGTACTAGTAGTTGACCCTGAGTATAGGTTTCCCATTTCCAAATCTTGTGGTAATTTTCCTTTCAGCCAAGAATGGCCGTGTGGATTCTGAGGACCGGAGGAGCCGCCACTGCCCATATCTGGATACCATTAACAGGTCAGTAGTTTGGGTAATGAGGCAGCAAAAAAACACAAAGAAACAAAAAACAGTGCAATCTGTGCAGAAAGTTCATGGGGCAGCATGTTAATTTTGACCCTCCTAAAGCTTCCTGGTGTGGCGCTGTGGGCTAATGCTCCAGACTGCAAAGCCATTTGAACTGCAAGGTCGGCAGTTCAAGCTCACCAGCTGTTCCTTGGAAACCCTATACAGGGTCCCTATGGGTCGGAACCGACTAGATTGCACGTCACAACAGCAACAATAAAGCTTTCTGGTAGCATAGTGGTTACGAATTGGGCTGTTAACCTCAAGGTTGGCAGTTCGAAACTACCAGCTGTTCCGTGGGAGAAAGATGCGGGTTTCTGCTCCCATAAAGATTTGCAGCCTCAGAAACCCTGTACAGGATCACTGTGAGTCGGAACTGACTGACTCCATGGTACTTAACAACAGCAAAGCTTTCTGCCCAGAAAATTGTGCTTCTTGCTGTTAAACACTCCTCACTTACTGACATGGCGAGGGTTCAAAGACCAGGTTGTTATGCAAAATCAGCAGTATGCACAATGGATGATGACCACTTCAAACCCAAAATGGAGGATGACTACAGCATTACCTGCCTGCCAAACCACTGAGAACCATGGCCCAGCCAAGTTGACACATAACCTTAACTATGACAGATGGTGTTGCTCTTGTCTTGCACCTTGGCATTCATTGCTTCAGACATATGTTGTTAATGCACAATATAGTTAGATAGATGTTTTACTATTGTCATAAATGTGAAATGTCAGATAACACGATACATGAAAAGTGAGGGGTAGGTGCTATTAAAAAACCTTTCCCTTTACTATGAGGAGTCAGAGTGCATGTTGTAGAATAGGAATGCTTTGTAATAAGCCACATGCATAAAGAGCTGTTAGTTCATTTTGCTGTGTATGTTGGAATAATGGGGAATGGGATTTCCTGAAGAATGACAATCCCCAAATTAAATATTTGTGCAGTGCCATATATGCCAGCTACTATTCTGAGTGCCTGGAATTCAGCAGAGGGAAGAAAAAAAAACAACTAAGTACAAAATGTTGTCTTACAGCAGAGGTATTTACCTCATGTTGACCCAGATGGGACCTTAGAATGCTTTTCATTCTACCCAGTAGAACTCTCCACAAAAATAGGATTGCTCTATGCAAGAGCAGCCCAGTGTGGTAGACACAAGCTGCATGTGGCTATTGAGCAGTTGAAATGTGGCTTATGCAACCGAGAAACTGAATTTTAAATATTAGTTACAATTTTTAAACATAAATAACACCACGTGACTGGTGGCCCCTTTACTGGATAGTGAAGCTCTAGAGTTGTCAAACACTACCAGAACTGGACGGAACAGGGCCCCAACAGCAGTCCAAAGTAAAAGGCTGGAGGCAAAAGGACATAAAAAGTGAATATATCCTTTTATAAAAATGACTTTTTATAATAGAGTTGATATTTGAGGAGAAATCCTTTTGCCACTCATGGATTCAGTGGAGATGTTTTTGTGCCTTTTACAGCCTTGGAAACCCTATACAGGGTCCCTTTGAGTAGGAACCGACTCCACAGCATACCACTACCACCACCACCTGCCCGCACTCATACTACTACTTTGTATTTATATAACTCGAGTAATTTTGGTTGTTCCCTAAAATTCTTCAAGGTTTTCCATTTACTTTTAGGAACAAAGGTAATTTTTTATTTTTATAAGAATGTACTTTTATAAAAAGTCATTTTTTTTTAGTCCAGTTCTGGTAGCGTTTGACAGTGGGAGAAGGTCCTTGACTGGTTATAAATCTTAATGTAAAGAAAGTCATCGACTTGAGATATGTTGACCCTACTTTGGAGTATGGTGGATGAGAAATGCTCCTCACAGTTTATGTGCAGTTGTTGAGCTGTTCTCTGAAGAATAATATTTCTCATTGTAGAACGTAGTGTCCTCCTGGTTACCTACCCCGATTAATTGTCTTTTGTTTTGGTTCTTTTAGGAGTGTGCTAGACTTTGACTTTGAAAAACTGTGTTCCATCTCCCTCTCCCATATTAATGCATATGCCTGTCTGGTGTGTGGCAAGTACTTTCAGGGTAAGTGTATGTTCACATTGTGAACTTGCTTCGTGTTCTGTACTAGCCATAGATTTGCTTTAGAGTTTTGTTTTTTT